AAAACTTGAGGCTCATCTCTATCTCTCTCTCTCTCTCTCTCTCTCTCTCTCTCTCTCTCTCTCTCTCTCTCTCTCTCTCTCTCAAGAGCACAATCTAGCAACATCCCAGTGATGGTATATGCTAGTTCTTCAGCTCAAATTCGTTAAACTGTTGCGTTTAATTAGTCAACACATTGATCCAACGAATCTAATCAAATCAAAACCTGGTGGCAGGTTTCTAGTTTTGGTTTAGTATCTTGTTTACTAAATTCTAGAAACTCAAATCAAACCTTCTCGATCATTATATTAACACACTCCTTATAAATACCCAATTCTTCATTTTTCCTTTATATCCAAGTAATTAACAAACCCTATTGAAGTTGTTTTCATATTCTATATTTCAACAATCAAGTACCAAGAAGATAAAAATGTTGAGCACTACTAACAAGGCGATTCGATGTAAAGGTAAGCATTTCATTCATTCTATTGTGATTGTCCCTAAAGAATAAATGTTGCTTATGAATGTAAATGTAACAGCGACGGTGGCATGGGAAGCCGGAAAGTCATTGTTGATTGAAGATGTGGAGGTGGCACCACCGTAGAAAGTGGAAGTTTGAATCAAATTCCTCTTCAGCTGTTTACTTATGGGATGTGACATCCCCAATTTCATGGCCAGAAAATACCGATTTATTTATGCTTTATCAAAGTATTTTTTTTTAAAATAATATTTCGGAATTTGTTCCCAAAAATATGATAAATATATTATCAAAGTATTTCCGAAGAAATGTGTTTTAATTATATTAAAAACCCTGGGATATCATTATAAATACAGTACAACAGCATAAACAGAAATAGTACAGGCCTTACAACATCTATTATTCTAATGGCCTATAATTCATAGATATCTCATCAGATCATTACTTATGTGCTCTTTTGCCACTACCTATAATACAAGAAGCTGAGTGGTCAGTCTTGGGAGCTTGGTGAACACATAGAGTTTTTTATTTGTTTTAATTATATTAAAAACCTTAGGATGTCATTATCAATGTAGTACAATAGCAAAAACAGAAATAGTACAGGCTTACAACATCTATTATGTCAGTAAGGCAACCATGAGGGGGATGGAGTACACCGGTGAACACATCGTTCACAAACACCTATAGGTTGAGAACCTGTTAGCATTCGACTAGAATGTCTAGAATAGTAAGTGGTTGTCATCTATACTCCGCTAGATGACTAAATCAACTTAAACATCAAGGTCTCTCATCATTTATTTCACCATTTATATTATATACCCATCTTTACCCATCATATTTATAGGTATAAAATACATATACAGTTTAAATCGAATAAAACATGTATATTTTGCTCATCCAGCATAGATATCAATAACACATATAATATGCATACATTGCACATAATTTATATTAAATACTTCATATCTATATGTAAGATGAAAGTAACTATGCACTCACTTGTTAAAGTGATGACTCGCAATTCGGGTAGCGCTTCGCTTCTATTAATTTTCTTTTCCTTTGACGAAACCTAGTATCATTATTACTAAATTATAGTCTAATATTTATTGCAACTAATTATTAGTCTAGATTCATCATTAACTCAAAGTCTACTTTCATAATCTATCAAGTAATGATTAGCCAAGCAGGGCAGTTGGGAGGTAGGACCATTTCAGCATATAGCTTTTCTGAAATCCAACAACCAAGCCAACGTGACCATTCTAGACACATCTCTTGTAAGTAGTTCAATCAGTATAACGACTTTGAATCACTGATAAACCTTGTTTATAGGTTCATAATAATGATAATGAACTTAACATAAGTTATACTTGAAGTAAGGTAAGCATAACTCACTTACAAAAGGGGGGGGTTAGCTAGGAGTCGAGCTCTATAGGGGCAAAACTTCTGAGCTGAAAGCTCTTCTTTTTGGAGCCTTCTGGCACTTCGGGATTCACCTCTAACACTTGGAAAGTGCTAGGGAAGGGGAGGGGATAAGGGGGTATTTGAGAGAGAGAAAGAATGGTTTTAGTGTGAGGAAATGAGGTGGTCTACGCCTCTATTTATAGGCTGGGAACTTGGAGTACACGGGGAATACATAACAGGTATGTTGGGAGTATGTGGACAGGTGTCCCCATCCGGTGGCAAGGCGTGGAGAAGAAGCAACGGTCAGGATTGTGCCATGTGTCACCTAGCATCTTAACACATAATTTAATTATCTTCTAAATTCCTTAACTTTCGCATACGAGCTCCGTTTTTGACATTCTTTATATCCATGCGTAGGTAACGACATGATCTACAACTTTTGCTTAAACTCTGTCGGCTAATTTTGAGTTTATTTTTAAAGTTATATGTTAACATGCTTAAACAGATAAAGTTCATTAAAAATTCATAACTTTGTCATCCAACGTCCGTTTTTGTCTGTCTTTATATCATTGAGCTCCTATTAATGATATCTTCGATTCATTTTTAGATTGTGTCGGCTAAAAATCGATCGATCTAAAATTCGATTTTCTGGCTGCATACGGTTATGCCAAATCTTAGAATAATCATAACTTCCTCTAACGAAGTTAGATTTGGACGTTCTATATATGTACGCTCTCGGTTTAACATATACTACGACTTTCATTTAGATCGCTAATGCTAAAAACTATTTTATCGCAAACTCACATTTTACGATACACAACGTTGTGCCGGTTTTGTCTCAAAACTTTGACGGGTCATAACTTCTTCGTTGTAAGTTGGATTTCAGCGTTCCTTATATCCCCGAAATCCTTGTTATGACTAGTTCAACTTTCTTAAAATATATTGGGTCAAATCTTCATTCTATTTTTGACGTGTATTTTTTTTATATGTTATATCGTTATAAGCACGTATATTGCACATAAATCACATAATACTCAATTAATTATTCTTTGTTACTTTAAAATAGGTTACGGTTCTTGACCCTAACAATTACATCATAATATTAATGCCTTTCCAGAAACGCGGGCGTTACATGGGAAGCCAAGGTAATCAATCTACTTGCCCTATTACTTGAACCTCTGTCACAACTCAAATCTTGAATCTTGGTTTTCGATGAATGTTTCAGGATCAGAATCTCATGTTTCCGCAAATTTTAGGACATGAAGTTGGAGGGTATGTTTGATTCGTGTATTAAATCAAAAAGGGTTTGTATTCAGAAAAAAAATATGATTAATTTAAGTGATGTAAACAAGGTTGAGGTGAGTGTTGATGAAGGAGTAACTGAACTTCATGTCGGAGATCATGTCCTCCCTGTTTTCACCAGAGAATGCAAAGAATGTGCTCACTGTTAGTCAAAAGAGAGAAACATGTGCGACCTTTTGGGAATCAACACTAGTAGAGGTGTGACAACCTGGAAAGTACGTCAACAACTGCCGTTAGTACTTAATGATAAAACACAAAACCATAAGAAGGGCGGTCTTGTAACCTCCAATATACTTAAATTATTGTTTTCGTCAACAGTTAAGCCCAAAAATAAGTGCCCGAAAAATCACATCGCTTCGATTGTGTTCTTTAGAGAGAGAAAGGGAGGGATAGAGAGAATGAGAGAATGAGAGAGAGAAAGAGAGAGAGAGAGAGAGAGAGAGAGAGAGAGAGAGAGAGATGCCCTAAGTTCTGTCTATGTGTCACTTAAATTGGCTAAAACAAGTAAAGGGGACTAAAAAGACACGTTACCTAAGAGTTGGTTCCTCGTAAAGCCATGAAAATAGTTTAGGGACTAAAATGAACAACCCTAGAAAGTTCGTAGGGCATTTGTGTCATTCCCCTTATTTTTTAAGAAAAGTTTTTTTTTAATCCCAACAACACACAAAAATCTTCTCTCTCTTGTAACCTTCCGTAACTGTACTCACAAGAACTCACACTTCCATAGGTTGAGGGTGGTGTAGCCAAGCAACTCACGCGTGATTGGCCTTGCCAAGTCACAATACATGTAACAATATGTTGCACTCCATACAGCCTTATTTTTCACATTTCATATGTATTGAAATTGAAATAGTGCAATATTTCAAAAAAATGTAGCTTACCTTAAGTTCTTAATCCGCTAAGCCAACATCCCAAACATTCCAAAAGTCCATTATACCAAAAGATGACTCATAAGAATCAAAACTTTATGGACATGCATGCCTCATGCATATCCTACACACTTCTAGGTCAAAAATGGTGAAAGTATGACCTTGAACCCGTATATGACACCAAAACAAGTCTAAAGTCCATATCCAGAAGATAGAACACTTCAAGGACATTCAAGAATTATATAGTTGCAAGGTTTATCTAGAGTTCTTCCTTGAACTCCAACCAAAACCTCAAAAAGGGACTCAAAGACCGTAAAATGAAAGATTAGGAAAGCTTGAATCATAAGGTTTGGAGCTTGATGACTTATAAAGCTCCTTAGGATGGAAAAGAACTTGGATCTCTTATGGAAACACTCACTCAAGCTCCAAAGAATGATGTACTTCCTTGAGCACTCCCAAATGGAACCTATAACAAGCAAAGGAGGGAGGAGATGGAATGAATGCTAGGGTTTCGTTCTTTAGAAGATAGAGGTTGATCCTTATAAACCCTAAAAGTTAAAGATGTTTAAATAGTGCCCCAAACATGGAATCTAGGGTTTTGTTCAAACAACGGCGCTACGCTTAACGTAGACATACATACACTCAGAGTAGCTTGCCTACACTAATCGTAGCATCATGACTTGAAATTCATCATTTGACACTAGAAAAATGGCATCTCAAAGAACAAGTGCTACATTTATATAGGTAAGGGGCTATTTGTTATTTATTTATTTTTTTTTGAAATTATAGGGATCATATACATGTTTTTTGAACTTAGAGATTATATGTCAAATTTCTAAAAAGCACATGGATCATTTATAATGTTTTCTCTTTAAAAAATTAACATATAACTTTTAAAAATATATATATTTAAAAAAAATAAAAATTTAATTTAATAGACAACTTATTTTTTATTAATAAAATATGTAAAGTCACCATTGATTTTAACGTAATAAAGAAACTTTATGAACTAATTAATTCAAAGTTAGTAATCTTAAAATTATTACTATTTTTATTTTTATTTTTTGTAACAAAGGAAGGGGAAGAAAGAGGGCAGAGCGGTAAAAACGGATGCAACGAATTTGATAAACCGATCACGTCCGGAAGCCAAGCTGGTATATAAACCCTATTCTTTGTCTGAAAACCATTGATTACAATCGACAACCCTATTTTCTCTCCCTCTCTCTTTCCACCCACACTTTCAACCAATCTCTCTTTCACTCCCAACAAATGGCCGATCAGCTCACCGATGACCAGATCTCCGAGTTCAAGGAAGCCTTCAGCCTATTCGATAAGGATGGCGACGGTATGTTTCATTTATTATCGTTTTTATAAATGAATTCGTTGATTATTGAATTTTGTTTGAATGTTTTTTTTTTTCATGATGTGTGTTTTAGACGAGTATGTTCATGCGATTTTCTTCGATTTTTTTAATAGTTTGTGTATATGTTATCAGTTGTATCTATGTTTATGTCATCAATTTGGGGTTTAGGAACGATAAGCTTTTCAACAAATAGCTGACTTCCCCCTCTAAGACGGCAGATTGCATCATCACCACAGTGTTTATTTGGGTTCTCAATAGGGGTAGTTTTGGCGCTTGTAAGTGGCACAATTGGGTTTGTTGCCCGTTTAAAATTCTGTAATTTCCTTGCTCTGTTCCCTTTCCCTGCCTTTTCCCTTTAGGCATGGCCTGTTTTTTATATAAATTCGTCGTTTCTAAAAAAATCAATTTGGGGTTTATCCTGGTTTAGGTGCGAATTTTCCAATAACTGTGATGTAAATCATGTGTTTTAGAGCCGATTTTGATGAAAACATTGTTTTGTTTCCGTGTCTTAGCGCTTTGCATCGACGAAATATAATAAATAAACGTTAAAAAAGAGGAAGCCAAATTGAAAGACGTCCTTAACGATGAAGGATTCCTGTACAAATTGCCTATTGGACCGTTTGTAAATATATATAACTGGATATGAATGAAATTGATCATGGGTTTGTCATGTTGTTAGGTAGTTTATAAATTATAACTGTAACATCCTTTGAAAATATGTCTATATATACCTGCTAGTAATATTGATGAAATGCATCATGATACATAAGCTTTCTACATCTCGTTAGGAGGTTTTTCATCATATTAATTAATGATTGAACTATATGCCAATTGCCTAATCAAAAGTTGTATATATTCTAAGACGAAGGAAGTACTTAATATACAATAATAAGGACCCTTAGCAACATATTCATGTTCTTATCAAGTGTTACATACTGAGAAATGAGTATGGTGACGATATTATTATTAGTACCCTCTAGTTGGTCAATTAATTGTTTTTGAAGTTAATAATCGATCATTTCATTTTGTTATATATTTTGAATGGACAATAGTCTTCTTTCTGTTTGACAATTGAAGATTGATCAAATGAATATTTTGATGATTCGATCTACATGCTGGGATCTTATACCTCAACAAGAAATCAACATAATCTCTGAATTTAAAAAAAAAAAAAAAAAAAAAAAGTGACATTGTGGGGATTGCTTCTGTATTATTTTTATGCCGGAGGTGTATTATGGGAACTAATAAAAAATGTGAACTGTGTGATATATGCAGGTTGCATCACGACAAAGGAACTTGGAACTGTGATGAGATCGCTTGGGCAAAATCCAACAGAGGCTGAGCTCCAGGACATGATCAACGAAGTGGATGCAGATGGAAATGGAACCATTGATTTCCCAGAGTTTTTAAACCTCATGGCAAGGAAGATGAAGGATACAGACTCGGAGGAAGAATTAAAGGAAGCTTTCAGAGTCTTTGACAAAGATCAGAACGGTTTCATTTCTGCTGCTGAGCTTCGTCATGTCATGACAAACCTCGGTGAAAAACTCACTGATGAAGAAGTTGATGAAATGATCCGTGAGGCAGATGTTGATGGCGATGGTCAAATCAACTATGAGGAGTTTGTTAAGGTCATGATGGCCAAGTAATAATATAATTAATAGTCCTAGTTTTATTTTTATTTTTATTTTGTCAGTATCTAGTTGTTGTCAATTGGTTTCTTTCGGGCCATGCATGGATATCCTTCTTGTTTAATTATGTATCTGTCACAAGTTTATATATATTTTTTTATGTTGCTGATTCCGATTTCATTCCAAATGCTCCGCTTTTGCTTTCTGAAAATGATATCGAGTGAGATGTATGTAACCGGAAATTATATAATCACTTTTTTAGTGTGTTGTGAAATACATAAATCACTTTTTAACGTGTCGACGAATCTTGTGACTTTAGTGTGTTGTGAAATAAATTATATAATTGCGTGCCAAAAAGATGTCGAGTCTGATAATATTTTATTATAGCCTATGACTACAACCACGTGGACCCCAAATCCATCAAGCTTGACGGTGATACTACGCACATCTGCGCACGTTAGCACCTACTCCTACGACCCCACTACTATACACCTCAACATTTTGTCCCTCACTGGTTACAGCTCCACTACCAGAGTAAGAGCATCTCTATTCTCTGCCTCTGATAACCTCTTACAAGTTCCAAATTCGTTTCAATCTCAAATCGTCTCTCATTGCACTTGGATTGGATTAAAAGATCAAAGGTACAATTCGTAAAATGCATCGTCTCTTCTTCTTTATTGCATTCCTTCTTATCAGTCAGTAATCTCTATGCGTTTGATCTTCAATTGTTTCCTTGAATGGACCGATTGTCAAGTATCGGATTCGATTTACTGACTTGGATCGTGATTTGCTAATTCATTATACCTACCTTTTGATTTGATGCGTTTCTCAGATTTTTATTATTTGGATCCTAGGTGAACTTGGACATTAATCCCCCGAATTTGTTTTAACTGATCCGTACAATGAACTTTTGATATAGTTGGGGTCGCCTTATCGTAACATGATCGGAAAACATGAAAGAATTATACATCTGTGAAATTTTAACATTAGACATGAATAAGTGGCTCAATCTACTATATATGTGTGTCTACGTTCTTCGTTCTCTGAGTTCCTCTCCGGCGTTGACTTTTTTACATCAAGGGTGTTGATCTGCAGATCTAAAATTCATATGGATACTTGAATTTCATGGAAAAATAATCAAACCCAATATTATCAGAATGCAAAACAGATATTGATTTTGTTGGCAATTTACCACAAACATTTCTGGATTTGTACCTGTTCTTCAAGAACGCAAAACTGATGTGGGTTTCGTTTTTAATTTATCAACGACTTTCTTTGGAATCCATGTCAAAATGAATCAGGAACAGATAACTAGCATGATTCAAGTTAAAATCCAAAACGATAAGTATTTCATCTTTCATGTGTATTATAAGATGGAAATCTGTATCTATTATTAATATAGTCGAATCTTCAATGTTGGATTGATGATGAAATCTAGCATTCACTCAAATTACTATATTACAGGTCTCAAATGGAAGCAGACAGAATAACCACAACCACCCATTGGTGTTACACTTGCAGGCAATTAGTCACTCTCACAACACAAACCAGAGTTTGTTGTGAATGTGAAGGAGGCTTCGTTCAAGAGCTTGAAAATATCCTAACCACAACCACAACCACCACCACCACCACCAATGTGGAAGAACAAAACCGCAACTCAGGCATCATGGAAACCCTCTCAAACTTTTTCCGGCGACAAGAAACACAATCCAACCACCGGGATCAACAAGACATGGTAACTGAAGACAACAACATTAACAGCACGTGGGGCCCATGGCCTATTTTCTCCGGCGACATGCCGGTCAGAATCCCCAACAATGGCGGTCTTTTTGAGCTTTTCAATGAAGTGCTCGGACTCCGGCGAGAAAACGGTGCAGACATCTTTGTGGGCCCCGGAGTTGAAGAATTCTTCCAACAGTTGAACAGTCATGATTCCGATGTTCCTCCACCACCTCCAAAGTTATCAATCGATGCATTGCCAACTGTTAAAGTTTCAAAGAAAGACATTCGGTCTGATTCCCATTGTGCAGTTTGTAAAGAGAAGCTCATATTGGGGTCTAGTGCCAAGAAGTTGCCATGTAAACATTTGTACCATTCAGGATGTATTGCACCTTGGTTAGCTCAGGTGAACTCATGCCCGGTTTGCCGCCGCGAAGTGGTGGCAGGTGGTGGCAGTAGGAGGCGGAGCCGAGTATGGCATAGTCGGTTGTCTTTCTTGTGGCCTTTTGGATCCCAATCTTGAACTTGTTTGCAACTTTGCATCCCCTTTTTTGTCTTTGTTACTTGTGCATCTACAAAACTCGGGCATAAAGATCGGTTGAAGTTGTTTGTTTTTGTTGAAGAATATGTTAAATTATAAAACCAAAATGATTCTCAAAACATTCTAACAAAAGCAAAACAAACCATTTTCTTTATCATTACTCAAAGTCAAACCCTCATAAACATACCAACAAACAACACACAATTACACGATCTCAAACATACAAGAATATCAAAACAGAGCTTCTTCTTCTAGTTTGTAAGCTCCATGATAGCAGAAACAATATCACCATCTGCAGCCTTTAGAGCCTTCACAGCCTTGGATCTGGAAACCCCAGCTTGTGTCATCACGAGGTCAATGTCCTTGGGCTCCACCCCACTCTCATCAACTTCATCTTCTTCATCATTTGCAGCAGCCCCTATTGCCTCCTCAGAAGCCATGTTTGACATCACATTACTCAAATTTGGTGCTTTAAACTGCTCAGCTGCCTGACTCTGCAACTGTGAGCTCAGATCCTCTATCTTTGCTTCACCAAATATTACATATGTATCTGAAGCAGGCGACTTGAATACATCTGGTTTTGATATCACAAACAGAATCTGCAACACCATAACAACAATCAATCAATCAATCAATCTTATCAAACAACCAATCAATCATCATGAAAAAGTTAACCCACATTTTTGCTCTTCTTCACAGTGACACGACTGACTCCAGGAATGGGCTTCATCCCGAGTTTTAACATAGCCTTCCGACTCTTTTTCTCACTTCTACTTTGCTTAGATCTACCACTTGCATCTCCTAAACCTGTGCTTGCAAAACAAATTCATCAATCAATGGTTTCCCTATGTGACACGTAAAACCCCATCGGTTTCTTGAAATGGAATGAGTATATCATTTTTAATTGCATAGTCTCACCTTCAACATCATCTTCATCATTGCCATCATCATCATCTTCATCCTCATCTTCTTCGTCTTCAATCAGCGGTTCCTCATGCTGCAAAATTTATCGTTTTAAACATTGGTGACATTAGACCCTCATCCATGGTCTTTAGACCCAAAACCAACAATTAAGCATACAATTCTAAAAACCATACATCGTACACTTGTAAGAAGAACAAGTCTTTACAATCTTCACTAGGTCGTAACATATATACAAGGAAAACTAACGGTTCATATGGTCAGTAATTGTCAACACTACAAACACACAACATTGAGATCTCTTATTTTGGGGGAAAAGGACAAGAACGAAAAAGTATACGATAATGAGATCAAAACAAGGTTCCTAGGATGATCTGATAGTGATATTTGTGCATCACGTTGCTAGATCCAGCTTTTTTGAAGCTGTTTCGATTTCATCAGTCCATTTTGCTACCATTTACATAGATTAGCATAACTAAAAACCGACATATCAAAGTTGATATGAAGCTAATGAAGTGAAACAATCAAAGGTTGTAGTGGAACCAGAAGAACAATAATATAAGAATCAAAGATGAAAGATTTACAATTACTGAATAGGAAAAGAGATCTTACAGCAACCTTTTGTTGTTCGAGAATGGCAGCAAGGAGTTCTTCTTGTGTGTGAGCAGTCATGGTGAGCACGGAGGAGTGTGTGTGGGAAAGAAAAGAAACGAATAGATCACAAAACCCTAAAAATCTCCGAACACCAAACACAAACAGTTTTGGAGAGCAAACAATAGTCCCTCTTTTTTATATTTGGTAAACTGTTTTCAAATTTAGGGATGTTTTCCTTTTTCCTTTTTTAAGCTATTATCTGATTATTCATTGAAAAAATGTTTTTTTAAAACACCATTTTACTTTTTTATTATATACTAGTTTATAATATGTGGAAGCGACGAATAAAAAACTAATTAAATTTTTTAAATAAAAATTTTAAATTATTAATTAATAATTTTAAATAACTTATTAATTAAAAGATATTTTTTTAGTTGTATAGAACATTATAATCGTTGATTCAAATAAATACGTAAAATATATTATTTTATAATTTGGATAAATTTTATTTTATTATAATTTGTATAAATTTTATTTTATTTTTATTCTAATGTTATTAATTTAATTTAATTAAAATGAAATTTAATTTTTGAAATTTGAAATTGAGAATCAATAAATTGACAAGTGTTATGATATTAATTACAATGTCTACCACGGTATCACATGACAAAAAAACTATTCTTTATTGATATAAGGATTATATATTTTTTTAATTTTTAATTGTATGTATGGTTCGGCTGAAATTAAATATACAAAATAATTTGGCCTTATTGATTTCATACGAACCAAAAGTGTTTTGAGATTTATAAAAATCATCGTTTAATTTGCCACGTATAAAGTGAAAGCACCATTTAAATCGGAAGAAAAGGGAGATGTTTGTGGTGACAACGTTTTTTTTGGATAACAAAAATATTTTTTTAAAAATTATATGTATAGATCATTATTATGTATGATGACTAGTTAAACTTCACCGAGAGCTACACACTATCTAAGGCAAGGAAACCAAAATTATAAAATGTGAAAAGTATAAATATTTATTGATTTCCTGTAAAATCTTTTTCATGTTTTGTGATGTTTTTATCTTATTAATTCAAAAACCAAACATTGGTCAGCCTAAGTGTCGATCTACATTCCAACGGATCAATCAAGAAGTTTGCAGGTGTCTTTTTCTTGACAAAAAACATTGATACGACAAAAAAATGTCAAAAGAATATTCTAATCAGACCATGTTAGTACTTAAAACATGGAAGCTTTGTACAATGTGCAACATGTTTTCCAAAAAAAATCCAAACATACTGACAAACAAAACATATCTCGCCAACCGATAAAAATTGACCATAAGGTGACCCTTTTAGCTGTATCAACTTTCTTGTAATTTCTTTTAGATTTTTATTTTGTATATTAATTATATTCTTGTTTTAAATCTTAAATTCCTAATCAACTGGTTAAAAATTGCAATGATGTTTTAATTGTAAATTTTCAAACTTCAATCATTATTCCAGTGTGGATTTTTTCTTACGCGATGTTGTATTTTTACTTTATA